TATCGTTAAACTGGTAACCGTTTCATCCCTACTGCACAAGTGCACATGAAGCAGCATCATTTACCCTTTGTTCTGGGTCTTTGTTCTGGTTGCCTTTTCTTTTGTTTGTGAAAATCCTGAGACTATAATATAATACAATACAAGATTTCTGATCAGTGATGTATGGTTTATTAGTTTTTGTTTTATGTTGGCTCACTGGGTTTTCAAGACCCACTGTAATCCAACTATTTGGAGTAGCACTATCTCCCTGTGTGTCTCCTTGTGACTGTGGGGGAGGTCAACAACTGCAAGCGTAGCGCGTAGTTTGCTTGTAAAGATTGAGCTACCAAGCAACCTACCACTTTCTCCAACCAATTCTGACTTTGTGTTACAAAGAAATTGATTTCTGTTTGCAATAACTTTAATATTGGATGCAGGGGGCATGAAAAAGAAGAAGAAAGGAAAAAAAAGAAAAAAAGAAATTGCAGTACTTCCTGACCCACCACTACATCACTTTTTATCAGCTTCTTTGCAGGAGCATTTAACAAGTTAAAGTTAAAAAAAATACTTTAATCCCTTGTGAAGTACAGAAAAGTCCTTCATGACTCGGGTTGTCTCTTGACAGAAAAAGAAAATAAAGGCAGCTTTAGAGACCAAATCATTTCAGCACTTTTTCACTTGGTCATTATTCTTTTTGGTCGTGTGGTCGAATCCCTTGTCATCCATTCTCAGCTGGATTTTTCTCCAGAGTCAAGGTGCCTGTGGTGTGACTAAGCTGCAGTCTTCACAATCTATTTCACCATTGGAGTCCGTCTTTCCAAGACAGGCAATTATGAATAGGAATTTCTCCAATTGCTTTTCAGGTTTTTAACCAACTCTGCACAGAATGCAAACTGGCGCTGGTTGTTTGGGCATTTTTGACAACTGCACTTAACCAAGTGAAGCAAAAATCTGGCACATGTATCACTATCATATTGGATGCTGTAAAAATTTAGTTTCCAGAAGCTTTCTAGAAGCTTAACTCACCTTAGCCATTTAACAAGTTTTACAATATAGCAATATCTTCAGCAGCTTCTAATGAAAATCAGTTTTCAGGGCAGCAGATATGAAGGCTCGCTCAATGAACCAGACAGCAGTGTTTCTCCTGTCAAGAAGTACCTACTCTCTTGAAGGTTCCTGCTTTGAGAGTGCTACTCTCTGGTAGAGTCTGAGGATTTGACTTCAGAAAGCAATATAACATCACATATTATCCTCACAGGTTATTATTGTACTTGACATGGCTATATAGTACATGTTATGTAGCTAACATGGTTGCCACTAAAAGACTGCTGCGTTCAAACAACCTGTATTAATGCTAATCGGCTTGATTTTAGCTCTGAGTCACAGGCTCCCGACTTCTCTGACAGGGAGCGTCGTTTACACTGTATCATTAAAATGTTTAATACTAGCTTATAGTTTATCTTAATCTATGTTAATGCTTTTTAATTCCATATTAGTAGTGACAGGGGAAGCCCAGAGGCACAGACTCAGGTGGGTGTAGCTGACATAAGGGATCTGATGAAAGGGGCTGTGGCTAGGGCGTAAAAGCAATTAAACTCAGCAGGTGACATTTAGATGTTTTCATGACACATGAAAACCTTGAGCATTTATTAGAGACATCAGATTCTGGCACCCATTCATATTATAGCTCACTGAATGTCAATTGTAAATTCTGCCATTAGATTTTTTCAGTATGCTGTTGACTTTCTCATTTCACTTGCCTCATTCCTTTCCACACTTCTATCATTGTTATGAAGTCGGTTATTGCAAATGAATGCTGCCTGACGTTTACTGATGTTTTGTGTATGATTGGTTGACATTCTCCTCCAATGCGAGTGCCAAGATGTTTGGGGGTGGGGGGGTGGGGGGGGTTTGTTCTTCCTAGTCTAGCTAGCCACAATATGATGGTCCCTGCATTCTAAATATACTGCTCTTTCTTATCTTGACCACTGTTAAACATATACTTTTAGTTTTAGAAAAAATGCTAAATTTCATTTTAGATGCTTATCAAGATTTATAATCTTAACTTGTATCTGACTCCTGTGTAGTTTTGTTTTCTCCAGCACACACCATGTCAAAACAATTTAGTTTGAGTGTGTACAGGACTTCTCTTGTGCGTGCATCTGTTTTTATGTGTGTGTGTGTGTGTGTGCCACAGTGCATCAGCTTTATTACGTCAATACAGAGTAAAAAGGGCTTACCTCCCCTGTGCAATTAGGCAGCCAAGTATGTGTGCACAGTTTGTGTATATTTGCATATGCATGTGCAAGAGTAAACACAGGAGAGAGAGGCTGGGAGAGAGAAAGAGAGAATGACATCTGTATTCTGACATGACAAGTGCGGTGACCTGAAGGAGAAACTAGACAAAGGTAATGGATCCAGAGTAACAGAACTTAAAATTTTATATGCAGCCTGTAACCCACAGAGGCTGTAAAAGAACTACAGGTTTTGCGTTCCTTTTGTCACTATAGTAAAAGCTGACATGCTTTGGGATTGGGGGGTAGTATAACTGTGGTCTGATGTACTGTACAATACAATCGTTTGAGTCTCCAATGTCAATTCCTTGAAGAGATAAAACGGCATGCACTTTGTACTAAGTCAGTCTAAGCGAGAATTAAAATGCATGACAGACAATGATGACTATATAAAAGATATAGTTGCTTCATGAAATTATGATAATGCAGAGTAAAACAGTGCTATTTATGCCACTTAGAGGATACTTCCGTTTAAAGGTCTCCACCATTGAGTGCGTCTATGCAATGGTCTCAATTTGTGTCTCAGCTGGAAATTAAGCCATTGGGATTTGGACCTGAATAAGTGTGGAGCTGTGTGGTTAACAGTATGAGTTTATGATCCTTAAATCACACATGTTACACTGTATAACTGTACAACTTTATAGGGTTTAGTGCACAATTTACTTGTTAAAAATGTGCTTTTAGAATGTACTTGCTATTATGTTAGGGTAGAGTGAGACACAGTGATTGGCTGCATTTGCCCTCAGCTTTCCTCACACAAAATGTGTGAAGCACAGCTGACTTAGATCACGTTTATTAGCTGATTGCACAGATACTACCAAAAAAGGACCAAACTGGAAGCCTGGGGCACATTTTCATCTGACAGAAGTATACAGACTCGACAGATTAGATTAGGTAAGTAAATACAATGTATGTTTTTTTTAAAGGTTAGAATAAATACTAATTAACACATCACAGTCCATATTTTGTTATGTTCGTCATTTGATATGATGTGTTTCTGGTGCAGCTGCTCGTCTTATATCTTTTCAGTTGCTCATGTTTTTATCTTGTTTTTACACTTAAGCATACATTCCAGCAGTATCTCCTTTATACATATTATGTATTATTGAAGTTGTCACAGTCAGTTCAAGTTTGGGACAGGAAAACAAGAGCTAGGACCCAGACGCAGAATAGTTTCAGTTTAACAGTGTTTTTTTAAACAATAAACAAAAGGTGTACAAACTCACAGCAAGGTGAAGGGAGGCAAGGGACCAAACCATGCAATTAGTCCACACAGGCAAACAAATCCAAGCAGGGTCAAAATCCACAAGGTCAAGAAATGGCTGGTATGTTTGACGAGAAGACAAAGTGGAAACAGACATGGGGAACACACAGATTAAATAGACAAGTGAGGGAATGTTAACAGGACACCACTTAAACTAATATGGGTGGGGCAGACAATCACACAGGCAGGAATTAAATTTTTTTTTATCTTATTTTATTTTTTGCATGACAATATTATTATTATTATTATTTTATTATTATTTTTATTTTTATTATTATTTAGTCTTGATTTAGGGTTGGGCCTATAGATGATGATGCCGATGATGATTGGCGTTGGCTGACAGATACCACATAATACCGCCATGTAAAGCAGGTTTTTATCACCACAAACATTATTATTATACATTATAAATATGCTTCGTACATTCCTCGGATTTCTCTTCTCCCCACACTCAGACACAAGAGGCCTACACCTCAGGTAAACACACCGGCTTGCCCCGTCTCTCTCTGTCACTCCCCTACTCCACTTTCTCCATCAGCAGTACATTTTATGAAGTCGGCTAAAAGACAAAGGTATTTTTCCACCCGCGATCCGTTATCAAGGCAGCAGGTGTGCCACTTGTGGGCTTGTTAATGATGCAGCCTATCAAACAACCGAAACCAACATCTGCCTGATGTTTTAATGTAGACAACACCCAACCCTTTCTTGCTTATCAAAAGTCTGTCATATGTTGCACTAAAGGCCCTTTTAGAAAATACATTAAATTCAGTGTTGAACAATCACTACATATAGTATTTCTATTCCTGATGAGTGTTTTCTAACAATAGTGAAACACTATAGATGGTCGATACTGCAGCACTTCGTACCAAATAGAGTTATGACATGGCAGTCTTTCAGCTTACAACAGCAGCGAGTGATTTTGCTGATGTATTATTTCAAGTGAGTGATTAGAGCAGAGGCAGCTCAAGATGAGATGCGGGTTTTGTTTTTTATCCTTCTGAAAAATCTTCGTGGCACAAATACAAAACTGACAAACAGTCTTGTACTTTCCCACAACATGCAAATTTATGCAAATGCATTCTGTTGATCTCTCCATGGCAACCATTATGTGTGTGCTGCAAATCTTCTGTCTACTGGTCAAATACTTTCAAAACTGTTGGCAACAATTTGTTGCAACCTTTTTTTCTGTATATCCAAGTGAATGATAGTTGCTGAATTTCATTTTTTCTTAGTATTATGCAGAAATTTCATCTGTAGCACAAGTTGCTAGAGTGGCTGTGCTGAGAGGTTTCTTTGTTCAAAATTGTAATGCATGCTTACTGCTCTGTCAGCACTCACAGCTGAGTACTTAAAATGAGCAATCAATAATCACTCTCTTCTCTTGTCTTTTCTTTCTCTCATTCATTCCCACTCCCGCCCTTTCTCTCTTCATCACTCTTTCTTTCCATGCCTCCCGTTTTCAGGTAGACACATCTCAATGGGTGAGGCGCACTAATCCAGTCATCCCTACACATCCCCTCCACCCCTCACCCACACCCTACTCTGTTCCCCTAAACGCTGCCCCTCTTCACTTCAGTCAGCATGACTTCCACCAGCCAACTGCTGGGTTTGGCTGAGGTGGGACTGAGGTGTGACCAGGAGATTGAGAGGAGATATGAGATCGTTCCCTCAGTGGTCTGCTCCATGTGCTGCCTCTTTGGAATCATCTACTGCTTCTTTGGTAAGTGATGGTGTAGTTGCAGCTTTCTCACCCTAGTCCTATTTTGTGCTGCTTAATGTTTAACTAACATTTAAATATATAGTTAAATATTTATTTTCTTGCCAAGAGTTTCATGAAAAGAACAGTACCACTGTCCTGTCTGTACTTTAAATGTAAAGCTACCACCAGTTAGCTTAACTTAGCACAAAGACTGGAAACAGTGGGAAACATCTAACCTGGCTCTATGCAAATGAAAGTGAATCAGCCTACCAGGACATCAAACTTTCATTAATTAACATGTTTTATCTTGTTTGAAAAAAACAGGAAGTTATTGCAGTTAGCAAATTAGCAGTAACAGGTGCAGTAACCATCCGTAAAACGTGTTATTTTACACTTTGGTTTTTTACATATTAAACAAGATATAATATGTAAATTAGTGAGCTTTAGAAGTGCTGGAAGGCATTTTGTTGCCTTAGCCTGGCTAGCTGCTACCCCACAGATATGAGAATGGTAACGATCCTCTCATCAAACTCTCAGCAAGAAAGCAAATAAGCATATTGCTTTTACCTCCTTTGCTTTGATTTTCAGTCATCTACAAGCGGCTCAGTGTATATTTGCTAACAGATTCTTTTAGAAAACCGCAAAGCTGGAGATCCTGGGCATTCTATTAGTTCATCTAAAGAAAGCATCTGAAGAGTGATGTGTAGCTGAGTGCCAGGAAATAATTAAGTGCTACAACATGCAGCCAAAGAGCCCTGAGATATCTACTGTTGATCATTTTTCTGTCATTTGTAGTTCATACTGCTCTGCTGGTATATTTTATTATTGATTTAAGAGCAGTACAGAGTGGCTCTCCTGTTTCTGGCTATGTGAATCAATATTGAAATCTCATTCGTACAGACTAAGCTACTGTGGCATAACATGCAGGAGTATTCCTTTACATCAGGTGGACTACACCCAGGTAAACCCATGGCCTGCATTTTCAGACTATGTTTCTTAGAATTGCATCGTATCAAATCCTTGAATCTCCATTACCCTTATACCCAAATTGTTGTCATCATCAGAAATACTAAAAGGACTGGACTGCCTGCTATCTTTTAAAGAAAAAAACATCTTCTCATTTGCTGCACATTCAAAGGCATGTTCCTGTTTCTTTCAACTTTAATGTTGCAGCAGCACTGCGGAAAGAAAAATAAGCACAGAGTTTTGCATTTAATCAAAAATACCAGGCCTAACTAGCAGTGGACCCCGTGTTGTAGATTTTAAAAATTCTATTCCTCCTTGCCATCAAATGCCTGGACTGTATGCATAGGTTCATTCAAATGGTAGGACACAGAGTCTTTACTTGAGGCTTAATTTTGGTCCCAGTGAGTGGCTGCATTTGATTGCATCATAAGAATTGAGGGCCCATCCTAATGAGTTTGGATGTAAAGTGATTACAGGATTGTGTAGTCAATAAATAATTAGAGGGACAGAGAGATCTGCTGTAATGGTTACAGGCTTTTTACAGTAGAGTTGTTTTTGTTCCAACAAAAAATGATGGATTAAAAATTGTATTTCCACTTGAATAGGTACTTGCAAAATTGCGTAAAAGTGTTCAAATAATGACATTGCATTCAGAATGCCTCGTGCCTTTTTGTTCAAAGTTACAATTAATTTCAGTATATTGCCTTTGGTTGGCTTATGTTTTTGTAATGATTTACTTGCAGCTATTTTCTAGTTAAAGTGGTGTTGGAAGAGAATTCACATTTTTGTGGTGGGGATTAATGATGGTTTTGCAAGGACTGTAGGGAATCTGATGCATGCAATTTTTTAAATTAAAGTTATTTTTGCCTTTACTGGACTGGAAGATCCAGCATAGAGAGAATTGAACTGTCTTCCAGTGACATGGTATGCATCAGTAACCATTTGAGAACCAGGCTGTGCTACAAATACTATTAGAGAGTTGATTTACATACTGTACACATTAGAGCCATGCACATTATAAATTATCTCAAAGAAGCAATCAGTGTCCACTATTAAGGAAACAATGCATTACATTTTTAACTTGTATGTATTGCCTTGTGATCTCATTCCCTCTTACATTTGGTTACTGCTAATATATAATATAGTACTTGATAGATAAATAAATAAATAAAGTCCACATCCTTCAAACAACTCAGATAATTTATCTGCAGACCCATACAGAGATTTTAATATCTATATTATAAGTGACACAAACAACACAATACTGCTAGACCAAATGTCCAAAATTAACAAGGTAATGTGTGAAAAGGTATAGAATTGTAATTTTGAGAAGGCAAAATTGGATGAATATTAATGTATTTTTAAGCTATAACAGAGCAAATCTGTTGCATACTAATAGACATAGAGGGATTCACTGAAGCGTACAGATGGCATTAACATTCACTGTATATGACCTGGTAAAGCATCAGCAGTGTCAGTCCCTGCATTACAAACAGGTTTCCCGACAACTTTATTTTCCAAAGTTGACAACATGCATGCAGACCATAGTGGCTAAAGGCCCTGAAACAAAATTATTGGTTGGATTAAAAAAAAATGTAGAGAACTTTGCTATTTGTAGATCTTCACCACCAGTATGGCAGAAAATGTCAAGTTTGCCCTTAGGGTGATGCCAGACAAAAGACCATGTTGTGTCTCACTTTAAATGTACCTTATCATCTTCAGCTGTACTTTGAGCATGCTGCTAGCATTAGCATGCTAACAGTAAAATCACTGCATTTAGCAAGCTAAATAATAATGTTAGCATGTTAATATTTTCTGTATGTGCTCAATTAATACTAGCTCTGAAACAAAATACTACACTTTAGAGAGTAACAAGAAGGAATGGCATCATTTTACTTCAAATACATATGCTCCTCAGTCCTTCACCATCTGTTTACATTTGTCTATTTGCATCTCTGTTTGACAGCAAAAAGAGAAGACAGATAGGTGCATTTTACCCTCAGTGCTAGATCTTGCTCTATAACCAAACAAAATCACTGTTCTGCTAATGAGACACAATGAATATACATAACAGAAATTTTCCAGAAACCCCACTGCCACATTTGAATGATTTGAGGATAAAAACATTTCTACTGTTTTCAGCAGGAAAACTGATTCTCCCTACTGATAGATACTTCTTGCAACCGTAGAATTTGTTTTAGCCCCATGGTCTTGAGAAGAAAAGGTTAGCTGTCATTTATTTGACCCAGAAAAACAACAAAGTTGCAGCAGAAATGATGAGTGATGTTATAGGAACAAGATGGATGAGGGAGGAAGGGAGGGTGACAAGAGCAGAATAAGCCAGAGTGAACAGATGGGATGGAGGGTTTGATGGCTGGAGGAAAAGTAAGGGAAGCAACGAGGATCAAAAGACAGACTAGGAGGGATAAGCAGAAGAGTGGAGCCATGGCACAATGGGGAAAGTAAAGTAGTGGGAGGGATGCGTCAGACAAAAGTGGACAAGGAATGCGCACTAGAAGATTAGGAGCAGTCAAGGAGGTGTGATATTTCAAATGTGTTCTTTGATTGATGTGGACTATAATATGGAAGAACAATGTTGGGAATTTGTGATGGCCGCTGACCAAACAAATGTTCAGGTGGCTGCTTTGGAAATGCTCCAGTTGCTCCATGTCAGACAGAAGAAGTGCAAACAGCTGTGGAAACATCAGTGGCTTTCACAACAATTTCGGGGGTTGAAAGATATCTAGGAAAATACAGAGGGGGAAATCAAGACATCTAGAAGAAGTGCACAAATAAATGAGGTATAGTCACGCGGGAGGAGCATGGACGTAGGTTGGATGAGAGGAAGAGTATTGTTGGGCTCAGCTGTGCAATGCCTGATTACACAAAGATAACAATCTCTTGTTGGTTCCCCTCGAGACAGAGTTCGGTCAGACCGAGAAAGAAAAGACATACAGCAAAAATAAAGGGGAACGCAAACATTAATAAACACAGAAGCAAGGCCAATGAGATTTTAACTGTTAATAATTTGAGCTTTGGTATCTTTTTTCCTCTTTTCATTGCAATAAAGCACATTAAAATGGAAAACTGTTGAGAGGGAGAAAGACAAGGACGGGAGGGACAACATGATGGGAAAAGAAGAGAAAAAAAAGTTGAAGGAGAGCAGCTGTTCTATTCAGCAGGCCTGTTGACTAATGAATGTGGATGACCTTTTGTAATATGATGATTATCATATTTTAAAGCACTTTCATAAAGGTACAGACAGTTTATCTGCTCTTCCCATCTTCTTCCAATGAGGAAATGCCTCTGTATTTGTGGACAGACTGCTCCACTACCCACCACAGAAAAGTGGTGTTCATTATGCATCCTCACAATAAATATGTCATCTACCCTCTTTAGATATGATAGAAGCCTTTTGTTTTCTAGAGCATTTTGTGAAACAACAAAGCATTCTACACTTTATCAGCTCCACTGAGATATCTGTAGAATATAATCCTGAATAAAATGCAAAAAAAAGTTAAATCATAGATACATGTACCGCTTTTTAAGGGTTTTTAGTTCCACAATCAATCTATGAACTGCAGATTTAAAAGGTAGTGTGTTCTTAGTAAACAGATTTTTGTCCAGTTGCTGCTCTGCAGGCATTTTCCAGAAAGGAAATAATTGGTCTAACTGTCGACTGCTGGGATCTTCCAGATGAAATAAAATAGACAGAAAGAGGAAAAAAAAGCAGGATGATAAACATAAGCTAAAGTTCTTTACAGCCTTGCAACCCAAAAGTTGCCTGTTTTTAATGGCTTATTATAGGTCTGTAATGCATAACTAATTCTAACTACACCTAATGAAACCATTAGATACAGTCTATGCTTACAACTTATAGATCTGTGCCTCATTAGAAAACGGTTCCCCAATACATATTTCTTTTCATTTTATATTGGCTTTGTTATACACTGTTCTTGGTATGTTCTTGGCAGTGGATGATGGTGTTAAGCTTGGCATCAGTTTAGGTTATGTCGTTTCCAATATATCATTCAAAATTACTGATTTGTGTGTGTGTGTGTGTGTGCGTGACTGTACCTTTCCCTTTTACTCCTGGCTACAAAGAAAGTCTTGTATGTGCTCACCATCCTGATGTTTGGTTCTCCATATTATCCTTGCAATGAATTAGATTTTGATTGTTCACTCAGGCTTGCGTGTGCACAGGCAGGTACAGCATGTATCAGTTAGTATGGTTGCGATAGCCTCACAATCGTCTCATTTCAATTTCTCCTGCAGGCTATCGATGCTTCAAGGCTGTATTGTTCCTCACTGGCCTCATGTTTGGCTCTGTGGTCATCTTCATGCTGTGCTACAAAGAGAGGGTGATGGACACTCAGCTGAGCGTTGAGGCATCAGTGGGCATCGGCCTGGGCATCGGGACCCTGTGTGGCCTGGTGACCATGTTGGTCCGCAGTGTGGGATTGTTTATGGTGGGCCTGCTGCTGGGTCTGCTAGTTGGAGTGGCTTCACTGGTGGTGAGGAGACACATTTGATTGTGCACTTTATAGATTGATGGTTCATTTGCATACAGAACCTGACAGAAAATAACATACAATAGGTACCTGTGTGGTAAGACTGCACATGTGTTCTATCTCACGTTCATGTAAATGATCTTTACAAATAAAGCATTGTACTGTTATCCCAATAAAGCCCTCTTGGGCCCACTCACACCAGAATGTGAGGGTGTTGTTATGATTATTTCTAGACTAATCTGGGTTGTTGATGGATGTAACAAGCATTGCGGTGACAGCTCTCTTGGAAATCTGCGCAGTAACACTGTAATGTACTTTTAAATTTTAAGCACATTTCTAGCCACAGGCTAAAGGCTTTCAGGTTTAATTTTAGTAGCATAAATGGTATTAGCTAAAATTATAGCTTTTTCCTTTTTGGAAGAAGATAGCAAGCTCTAAGCGATGGTGCCAATTTGCCAATTTCAGTCTGCCATAATTAAACTTTGTGTGGTTAACTTTGTTGCTGGTAACGATTCCATAAAAATAAATTAGATTTTGTACACATTTTTGCTGACATAAATGTTGATGTGACAGGCCCTAATTCTGCTGAATATAAACCGCGTACCAACTGCCAAATTAAAATGAACTAAATGCTCTCTCTTAAAGGTTATGGAGGAGTTCTACCACCCCAGAACAGTGTGGGTTCCCTTGGGTATTCTCCTGGGCTCTGGGACGTTATTTGCTGTCCTCACTCTTCAATGGCAGCGCTGCTTTGTCACTTTCTCCACTGCCACATTCGGCTCTGCCATCATCACTGTCACCGTGGATTACTTTATAGAGCTGTTCGCCTTGGTACACTACGTCTACGAAAGAATCAGGGTAGGTTTGTCTGTGTTTATGTTAGAGAGAAAGAGAACAGGGATGTTTGTGCATTTGATATGTGTGTGTACGAGGGAAAGACAGACTGAGCTACAGTATATAGGAATACAGTCATTCGATGAATTGATGATGCTGGTAGAGCGTGCACGTAGATTCATAATCTCCCACAGGTGATCAGTTGAGTTGGCCAATGGCCAATGATTTATTTCATTCAATTTAAAAATTTCACATCCATTACCGCATTTTAAACATACCTATCAGACCTTTTTTGGTTAGAGAATTGATGAGGAGCCGTATTCAGAAATGCCCTCTTTCACATTTGTTTGTTAAGTTTCTTTTGACAAAATCCGCAGACTTCTGCATGTAGCCCCTGGAAAGCCCTGCTGGAGTAACTATGGTTTACTATGGTTTTAAGACCTGTTGAAAAGTTTCCCAAAATAGAAAGCATTCAATTTGTGATGGTCAATTCTTAAAGATTCTTATTTTGCAAACTAACCATTAGATGTTTTACTTAACATTGTTATTGGTATTTCATGTGTTGTTTTTTGTGCAGTAACTCTAAAGAGGTTTTGAGAAACTAAATTGTAATATTTTAGATTATTGGTTTTGTGGAAGATAGCACTTTCTCAAAATGAAATTATTCAACTAAAATTGTGAGTGTAATCATTGCAGGTGGCGCCAAAGGGACCAGTGTGTTGGTTTACTTGGGTCATCTTGGGTGTGTGGCCTGTCCTGGCCTTCCTCGGAGTGTTGATCCAATGGAAAGTCACTGCAGAGGGATATTCTCACACAGAGGGTAAGTGATGCAGAAGTTCAAGAATACAGTGAAAACAGTTTTTCTACCACCAGAAATGCTTAACATCTTAGAGGTGTTTCTCTTACAGCACACTATGATTTATGATTTATTACAATGCAGTAGCAAAACAGCAGCAACACTAACCATATTAATCTCTTCCCTCTTGTTTTACTTTCTCCTGTTTATTAAAACTATTAGTTTCTGAACTGTCAATAGCTTCTTTTGCATTGATAATTGGATATTATGTAAAAAAAAATATGTAGTTGTCACAGTTCACGTACAGGGCTGTAGGACTGAAATGCAGACACATGTAGGCAGAGCCAGTTGAATAAAGAAACTTTACTAGAATTTCAGAACAGGATACAGGCACATAATTACAGGTGATCTGGCAGGGAACAATGGCTAAAGGGCTGGTGAATAGCTGATGAGGGAATTGGGAACAAATTTTCAGCTGGGTATGGAGTCAGTTGACATGGAAAGGCGGGAACACATCAGGACATTTTCTGAACAATGGAAATGACAGGTTTAGAAAACTCCATAAAGATTCAGGGGCCAGGGGTTGTCAGAATGTCTGAAGCTGAATGGAGGGACAAAGATAGAGAAAGTTTCCTTACAACTTGTCAAAAGACAGTAGCCAAGACTTTGATCTCTTCATTAAAGAGGATTTGAATAAAAACATCATAAAAAGTAATGAATTTATTAAAATGCACAAACACACATCTTATGAATAAAGAATTTAATTTGGAGCCTTAATTTATGTAACTGCTGAAATAAAGCTACAGTCAGATGCAGTCTCCTGCTCCAACCTGGAACTTGTGAACACACAATGGATATGCTCAGAAATTACTTATTTGAGAGAGGTGGTGCTTACATCGCCGTGTCTGCTCTAATATAGGCCAAAGCCACAAGCTTCAGGCAAGGTTTGTGCAGATCTCTTGAAAAGGTTTACAAAATGTAATTTATCAAATCAGAAATTTGTTTGGGCAGGGAGGGATAATCTGCAAGGTCTGTTATGCAGCCTCAATTATTTTAATTCAATGTGTAGGATGTACTTTTACACATGTTGTGTAGTACTAGTGCAGCTTTAAATTCAAATGACAGTATTTAACATCCATGTCACCCATGGCAGCTGCTGCTATGCTAATGCTGGAGGAACCGTTTATGTCCATATGTTGAAGTTTGTGCATGAGATGTGTAATTAAGGATGCATTCAACCCAGTTTCTGGGAATACATATGCAACTTCCATGTAAATTTGGATACTCAATAAGTATGTCAAGTACACAGAATGATGATGAGGCTTGTTTTCATTATTGATCTTACAAAACAAGTTGGTGCCGTTTTTTTCAAGACTGACTAATCTACCCTAATTTTATTAAATAGGAAGTTTTACTGGCAGTTTTAGAAATCACAATCATTATAAGGGCAAGGAACCGCCCTGTGTGGGGGGAGAGAGTCTGAATCAGTGTATGGATGGACAGCCTTTCTGAAAGCAACCTCAACACAGATGGGAAGATCGCATGCACATACACACACACGTACCTGGTGTAAATGCAGCACACACACGTAATACATGCAACTCATACACATAAACAGACAGAGACAGAAATATACTGAGGCATAGTCTGCCACTGGCTACACAAAATATCTCATTCATTCAACACACACAAAGTCTTACATTTGATCTTTGCTGGTGTATGAGTTATACAGTGTCTTGGAAGAAGTCACACATGGACTCGAATAATAGGATTAAACAGCAGCCTGCCATGGCTTCCAGTCAGAGGGTGTGGGCAAAGAGATGTAGGGAGCTTTTTAGTGCTATTGTGTGTGTGTGGGGGGGGGACATGAAGGAAGCACAAATAGGCCAAAAACTGTATTTAAAAAAGTGAGTCAATTCTCCAAAAAGACACACTGTTTTGTTGCTAAAAAGTTGCTAAAAAGCCTTTATTCCAGCATAGTGGATTAGAGGCATGCCTTTGGTGAGAGAGACCCAGGTTCAATTCCCCACTGTGACACATCCACCAATGTGTCCCTGAGCAAGACATTTAACCCCTAGTTGCTCCAGAGGCGCGACCTCTGATATATATATATATATATATATATATATATATATATATATATATATATATATATATATATATATATATATATATATATATATATATATAGCAATTGTAAGTCGCTTTGGATAGAAGCGTCAGCTAAATTAATTAATGTTATGTATTCCGTATCATATGTCTACATGATTAAAAACTGGTCCATCATGTAGTGCACACAGACACATGTTACACACAGACCAATCAAGTCTATAAACATAGATGTCAAACATTTGTACTGCAAAATCCCTCACTACACACCTGTTAGCTCATATTTAATAAACACTATCAAAAAATAGCACTGTGGCAAGTAAAAAGTAAAACCTTCTTTGTAGCTATCAGAGTTTGTCTGTTGTCTTTTAACTGCTGAAATCATCCTTTATGGTAACAAGCACTGTATTGACAGAGAAGGGAGGATGGGGAAAAGGAGAAAAGAGGGTAGCTGGTGTACTGGGGGAAGGGGAGGGTTATAAACTGGGGCACAATGGGTAAGCAGATCACCCAAAATCATCTGTCTGTCTGACTGAATAGTGTGCAGGACACTGCATGAATGAATTACCTCGCATATGTTTGCTCCCCCCTGGTCTGTGTGTGTGGACAATGAGAGCACACATTCACGCACGTTTGTGCTTCTATACTTGTGAGGACGCTCATTAACACAACTAATTCCTAAGCCCCTAACCCTAACCTCAACCATCACAAATTCATTCTCAACCCCAATCCTTAGCCTTATTTAGCCTAAACTCTCAAACATTTTAAAGAAGTGGGGACTAGCCAAAATGTCTTCAATCCCAAGGTCTCAAATTTATATTGGTCCTCACAAACATAGTCGTACAAGAACACGCACAGTAGCACGGAGCCAGAGGGGCCTGAGGTGGGGTGAGCTGAGGGGAAAAAAGGGGGGGTATCATTAAGCAGTTTCCCTGGCAGATGGTGCCTCGCTAGCTGTTCGCCCGCACAATGAAACAACAATAGAACTCATAACACTTCCACCCCCCACTCCCACACACACACAAGGTAATTTTGACGCATAAAGTACATCTTGTCTTCACGAAGTTCAGCGGGGTTGTCGTACTTAGACGCATGTAACGGATCCCTGAAACTACTGTGTTTTAAACCACTAAACCCAAATGCTTACACGCATACCTAAAAATAATTACATGGGTCATGGGACACTGAGACAGGATGGAGTTTGCACATCCTTTGCGGGGGAGGGTGTAAAAATAACACGTACACACTCACCCACTCTCAATATGTCAGGAGACTGAGCAGCTCAGTATGAGTACATGCAGCAAGGAAAATCATCTGCTTGCCAACTGACTGAATAGAATGAAGGATATGAGAAAATGGACATCAGTGGTTTTTTCTTACTTTCTGTTTTTGTACCCTATACTTACAATAACCCACCAGGGATACAGTCGTTCACCATCTGCATTTAAAAGCTAATTAAATTAAAATTTTTTTACTTTTGTTTCTTTGTAAAAGCTGTATTGTTTTGTCTCATGATGCTCTATTGTTCCTTCTCTCTTCTCTGTTTGTTCCTCTCTCATCTCTGGTCTGTTTGCCTCCAGTGGTTTTGAGTCGACAGCAACGGAGGGTCCAGCTCATGCGTATCCGACAGCGGGAAGAGAGGCTGAAAAAGGAGAAGGAGAACAAGAAGAAGAAAAAACGACAGAGCCAGAAGACCAATCACAAGCAGAAAGCCCACACCAATCACCACCACCACCACCAGCAATATCATCACCCAGCAGCATCCCACCCTCATCACCAAGCCCAGAGTTCTCAGCCCCCTAAAGTCCCTCCTCCTCAGACTGAACTCGGCTACCCCCGCAAGGCCAACCCTAAGAGACGCTTTGATGGAGATGTGCTGTCACCGGTAAGCGCTGCGTGCAAAAAGAATTTTGAATATTGGGTGCATACCTATATATGAAGGTATTATTGGAACAATCTCAAAATATACACATCTATCAGTAAATTTTAAGTCAGAGCAAAAAATACTTTATGATTTGCAAACTTGTAGAATCTTTTGCATAGTTGTCATTCACACAATCTAGGCAAACCGCATTCCACATTGACGCCTGCCTCACTCTTAACAACAACAACTAAAACACTTAGCAGTAGCAGTGCACTCCAGCACTGCCTAATAAATTAACTTAACGCTGCGTTTACCCCAGTAACTTAGTGAATTAGCTATGTAATATCCCTCCGAGAGCAGAGAGTTTACAAGGCAACGGATCATGTTTTAAGCGACTGCATGGAAAAAAATACGTGTTACACCTACACATGCACACTGACGACCCAGCGTTAGGGTTACAATTTTCGACTGTAAGATTGACAGCCGAATCAGGCTCCGCCCATCGAAGCATCGACTCTTCAACTATTCGGGGTCAGCCCTACTTCCTTTATAATGGTTGTTCATGAGTGTAAGCTTTCATTATATCTATCACATTATGCCTGTATACTATATATTCCTACACTCTGTCTGTCCACAGAGCTACATCAGGAGTTTCAGGGACAGACAAACAGACAGACGAGCGTACTCCCACAGTCGAATGATGAGCCGCTCCCGGATGGGTGAACTCGACTACGACTGTGGCTCTCAAGTGCCCCTCACGGCCCCCAATGGACCCCCAGTTCGCATCTGAGACAGTGAAAATGCACACACGCACACGCAACCACACACACAATCACACAAGGCTACTTCAAACCTCTTTGTCACAGTTCGGGATAGAAAACCTAACCTTACAGTGCCAACTTAATCTACTGCCTATTAACCCAACAGGAACTCAATACATACCAAAGGTGGTATGTCCCACACTGGTGTTCTCCTCTCAGACCTGTTAGAGGTATTTATTTGGCCAGTTTGGTCTTGTTCTTTTCTATGTGAGTGTCAAGACAAAAAGAGCAGAGCCTCTTTGTTTGGACGGAGCAAGCACTGATTGCTGTTGGTGATGTGGTCAAATCTCAGACATCATGAGTCATCAAATACTGTATTTGACTTCAAATCTTTTCTGTCACTGTACTGGTCTGGTGGACACTGGAAAAAATGTACCTGTCTGGTGGGGAGCACATTGACAAATCTCTGTCAAACATTTAATTTGAAGATTTTGGTTGCTTCAAGCCGTAAGAAGCCATTTCCAGTGGGTTTACCGTGGCAAAACATCAAAACACTTTTTTTTCTCCAAAGGAGGACTGTACCGTTTTAGATTAAAAAAATGCATCACATGGCTTTTTTTGTGGAGTCAAGGTAGCACTACCTTCAATAAATCTAAGTATCTTCCCTTTAGGGCAATTAAAGGAGGAAACGATTTGCTTCAAGGATGCCATTAAGAGCGCTCAGAGGAAAATGACAGGAAAAACAACAAAAACAGAGCTAACACTGAAACAGAAAGGCAGCTCTTCTTCATCATTTTCCCCGCAGGTCACTTTGTGAAGCAAGGTGTTCATGAAATCAGCCTGTTATCTTCGCTGACAGCCTGTGAATCCAGACATGGCAGCATAAGTCTTCTGCTGCTTCAAAATGCACAACAGGGACTGGTTTTGGTTGTGTATGGGATCAAACTGTTCCCACTGAAGACAGATTTTATGTTATTTCACCCATGAACACTCCACGTGTCATTGCCTACGTTGTTGCCATTTTCCAAAGGGGATTGCGCTTATATCTTGTCACTTTCCTTTTGCCCTCTATCGCCAGCTTTTTAAAACACAGACCTGAGCAGGAGACACATCCATACCTCCCCTCTCATTTCCTCTCTCGACTGAATTAAAAAATAATAATTATAAGCTGCTCTATGTTTCATTTGTTGTTGACATGTGCTCTTATGTCCCTTTTCCTCTTCTAATTCCCAAAACAATCTACCTTTGCAGAATTAATTGTAAAATAATAAATATGCTGTTCAAGGCACGAAGACAAGAAACTGCTGTCTGATAAGCATCATCCAAGAATTTGACTGTTGAAATCAGTTTGAGAGTTTGGAGGGGACAATATGTGACAGTGCAAATGTTAAATATAGTGTTAGTGTGTGTGAGTGAGTGGACACATGAGCCTTGTGGCAAGTGATGGATCGTACCAAATGTTGGCCAAGGAGAAGGAGATTCCTTGTAATGTACGTGAGACAATACTGTTCTTTTTTGCCGATATACTGGTCCGATTAGTGTGAATCTTTGGATGGACTTTGGATTGAAGTGTTAAATGCTGAAAAACGTGGAGGTTTAAAAAGATACTCTCTTGTAAATTATGAGACATAGTGAGAAGATGAGCTCATTTGCAAATGGGGCCCTCTACTGTTTACTACTGGACTTTTTTTTTCGAGACTTGCTGTGAATGCGTGCATATTTTTGTGTGTACAAGCGTTTACATGTGATTTTGTTTTACATTTAAATGTGCGCCAGACATTGATGTTGTACTGAACATCCAGAGAGGTGACGGAGTTTGTATAAGAAGTATTTTCAGTACAAAGAAACTATTTTTGTTTTGTTTGATCCTCTTTGAATTGATATACTGTAGTTCTCCACAATGAATACCAACTCTGCTGATGTTACAGTTCCTGCTGAGACTAATGTCACTGTAAAGAGCCACAGATGAAAGACCAAACTATACAAAAGTGAAGAATTGTATTTAAATACCACACCAAAACTCGATTTTTTTTTTATATAATTTTATACAATATATACTTTCTGAGTTTTACAAATGAAAAGATTCCACGGTACTGTACTTCAATACTGAATACCTGATGATATGTGATGGACTTAGCACTGGAGGACCAAACATTTTCACTTTAACCCATTACTGCATGATAATGTCTTAGTCCTAGTGTAACTGTGTCAGTGTTTCAGTATGTTACTGTTGTCATGTGAAAACCTCACATTTCCACTTCAGTTGGTTGGTCCCAGGGCGCACAAAACAAAATCCATATTGGTCTGAATTAAAGTGACATTTGTTGAAGGACGTCAATTTGAAGTGTGATGTGTTTCATCAGAAGGTATGCAGAAGGGGAATATTATAATCTCATAGTTTATGTGACATCATTGCAGTGTTTCAGTAGTTAAGAAACACATTTGTAGTACAACATCTATAGTACAACATACAAAGGACCAACTCTAACAATTCTGCCACAGTGAATAGGTCCAGCACTCTTACTTGCTGAGATCCAAAATTAAATTGGCAGAAATACACTGTTTTCTCCTTTCTCTGTTTACACTGTCCAGGTAAAGGGCTTTGAAAAGGTATTGGAATTATTTCCTTCCTCTTGATGTGCATCATGCTAAGTCACCTTTTGTTCTGCTGTATTAGTGTTACTCCGGTAATGTTTAACAGTAGTGGCTATTCAAGTGTTTTTTGGGGTTTGGCTTACACTTCAGTCCTGTTTCCTCTTTTGTGTTTTCACTGTAGTGCGCTTATAACATCATTGCTGTCTTTACATTTTGGAAAGACAAAAGTTAACAAATTTATCAGTTGAAACATTAGCCCCTGTTCTTGTTTGTAATCTATGGACAAAATTAAAGCTGGGGTAGGCAATGTTGGAGAACTAGCAAGAGACAGCTAGATTTTAAAAGTATCTCACTGATAAATTCCCATCCCGTCCCTTCAGCCCTCCTTCCAAAACCACTTCCCCAAAACACATGTTCATGCGCAATAAGTGCATGGACAGCGTGCACACAGAAATTTCAACTAATAAAATAAAAAAATGCTTCTGAAATAAATTGCCTAACCCAGCTTTGATTAATATTACAAAATTGTCAGTTCTTTTTTATTAGCCTTTTAAGTTTTTGTTTCTGCTATTTTGTGTGACCCATCACTGCTTAATATATGTTGGGGAAACACTTGTATTGTAGATATTGAACTGTAAATAACTTTTTAAATGTACAAATATATTTGTTTCATTTTTGTGTTTACATCATGATCACATATGTAATTCATCAAGCTGATTATTTTCTAATGGAGTAGGCCTGTTTTATATTATGTTACTACTGTATGTCCAGTTAGTTTGATTTGGGTGGGTAGTGGATGCACTTGTATCATTGTCATCCTGGTGTTTCAACATGTGATGTTGAAAATCAACAAACAAACTGAGCTTTGACTCTGATTATCAGCAACCATCAGAAATTCAATTATTGCTCCACGAGACAGCAATTCATTTTCCTACCACCCTGTTTAGATTTGTAAAAATCACCTGGTTATTATTATTATTATTGAGCATGGATTTATATGGACCTAAAATATGATAAACATTGTGATTCTACAATCAAATGGTCTTATTGTCTCTGCACTGTTCCTACATAGTCATTTGTGTAGATACATGCATTCAGCATTCATGAGTACACATACCAAATACTCGCACGTTTTCACAAAACATACACGGTTGAGATAACAAAATACGGTGTGTTTGGAGTGGTGATGCTAAAACCAGCTAGATGCCACAGTATAATCAGATACTAACTATACAATGTTTATTCCAGTAGTATACAGTTCAAGCTAGACATCCTGGCAAAAAATAGCTATAGTTACTGTATATTGTAGCCGTAACAAGAAACAAGAAATTGCAGTATGGAAATGGTAAATTAGGTTTGAGGTAGGTGTCACCATTACATTGTTTGTCTACCATCAATTTGAATGGTCACAGTTCTTTAAAAAAAAATACATCTAAGGATCCCTATCAAGATTGTTTTTATGTTATATGTTAAAAGAGATTTATACATACATATACTATTTTAAACTTTCAAATACTGAAAGTTAAATATAATAAAGTATCAGCTTTAAAAAAACATTATTTTTACTGTAAGGCTATACAGTGTACCATATTTCGTTATTTATGCCATACTTCTTACCGCTACGCAGGTCTCAACAGGATAAAGAACAATTAAGGAGCTGGAAACAGAGCACAAGGAAAAACAGAGCATCTGGTTGGCTGGTTGAGATCATCTTCATGTCCTTTTTTCCTGTCCAGTAATACTTCCCAAATGCATTGATGTGGCCTGACAGTAGGTTTCAGGCTACATCTGCATTGCAGCTTAAACTACAGTGCAGCAGTTATTTAACAACAAATGGTATAACTTGTTGTACACTGAGTCGGAAGAACACAAATCTCATCGGGATATATTAAGTGTTTTCTACAAATTGCTTTAATCAGGACAGAAAGGGGCCCACATGTAACAATTAAAAAATGTCTGCCTAAAAGCTGTCAACCTGTACTCTCACCAGCTGATAGAGGAGAGGTCACAGATTTAAGCTGATTTCATTTGAAGGAAATGGAACAGAGGGACATGCTGCCCTTTTTATTGACCTACACTGATTGGGCAGCTGTTGCTCTTGAGAGCAGTTGCGAAGAAACAGTGATGGAGACAGATAGTTCTGACCAACATGGCTCCACTAATGCCTCGAAAAGCAGTGAAATCTCTTTGTTCTGCCTAATTATCTCTCACTAAATCTTCATCTTCTTTCTGTGTCTCTGAATAACCTTTTCATTACATTTGCACCCACTCTTTTTCTTGTTTCCTCCCTGTGCCACCATCCTTGCCTCATTCTCTTCCTTGCTCATTTATTGTCTGCTTTCACTGTATCTATCTTTTCTCTGTCTATGTCCACCCCCACTTTTTATCTCTGCTGACATTTTCAGTCCAGTGACTTCAGACACAAACTGCACCTGCTATATAATTCTTGTTGCTGTGCTAATCTGCTTTCTGCTGGAAACAAAGCACGACCAGGGCCAGCTAATTAACAAGCCATTGTTCACTTTCCCCTGCACCAAGACCGGCCCTGTTACTGATCACTCCTATTTTTTTTGTAAAAGTGAATTAAATGTTAACAGAAGATGGTTACGCTTGGCTTGGAAAGCTACTATCATTTTAGAAAGCTAACACAGCCCACGTCAGATGATGAATGCAGTGGGTGGAAACAGTTCAGAAAGGAATCAATGCATGGACTGCTAATGACTAGAATTTTACAAGGAGACTGTGCTACCCAATGTATGTGCTATGTACAGACACAAAATAACAAAGGTTGATAACAAATGTCTTTATTTGAGATTTTAGGCACAGTGAAGCAGCACAACATGGTCACCCATATGCATACAGTCAAATACCTAACACATGCTATGGAGCTCAAACTTTAAACAAAGCTGAGTTCCTTTTTCTTTAGATGTTTTAGCTTCTGACATTTCTCAAGCCTAAGACCAGCATCTCACTTCCCCCATCAGTTACACAAATAAACCCCCTTCTTAATCAAGTAATTTACTTGTACATTTGCACAGAAAGACGTTGAATGTGTGCAGTGAAAATTACCATTACAATGTTACTTTTGTCCATGGTGGTTCAGGCCCATTGCTCTGTCTTGCACTTTGCAAATGTCCCTGTGGATACTGGGCCAATACAGCTACACAAAGCCTTGTTGTTAATTTGAAACTCTACTCTAGCCATCTCATTGTTTTTGCAGACAAGATATGACAAATTCAGGTGCTTTTGAGAGAAGGACAGTAACACGAATAAAGCATAATTCCTGGAATGACCTTTATTTAAAACCAGGCTAAAGGTAGTACGTTGTGCCTCTATTATCTAACCTGTTTATGATGTATTCAGTACACTGTTGAAAGATGTATACTGGTTGCACTCATATTATATGTTTTTCCATGTAAATCAGATGAAATGGTCAGCATTCTGTTTCTGAAAATAGGCTCGGCTTAAAGACCGTCATAGTAGTGGTAGGAAAATGTTAATTTGTTGTACTATTTTTTTAAAATTATTTTATTACATATAGTGTTTCTTATTCTAAACTATTCCGGTTTACATGATGTCTTGCTGATGCTGTGTGGACTCGCTGACAACCTGAGGAGGAGAGAACAGCTATTTTAAATTATCATGAAGGAAAAAAACCTCATTATATGTGTTGAAGACTGCACAGTGCTGCAGATAATACGTGAAAGTAATTTTTTATCAGCAGTGAAGCAGGTATTGTTTGGAGTGAAGCGCTGTGCGGGAGGGATCAGTAGCCACAGTGAAGCTGCTTGTCCATTGATGCCAGTGTGGAGTGTTACAATTCACTTATTCTAGTAAGTGTCTACACAGACAGTGTCTACACAGTGTCTACGTAGATGCAAACTACAAGATTTCAGGGATCAGTTAGAGACTTTAGCCTATTGTAGGTATGGTAATACAAAGGTGGTGAATATATCAAACCTAAAATAGGTCATTTTCTTTTTAAATCCAGTAGTTTGCTTCAACCCGTAGTGAATAGACAAAAAAGGTGGGATATTGCAACCTGACTTACAGACTGAGCACTAGCATCCTGGCTCATAGAATACTTTATCTGAATAAGAATATACCAAATCAAAATGATTCATGGAGAATTATTAATTTTATCTCTTAATAGTAAAAATAAACAGATGTAACAATTCTGTGTATTGTATCTCGTGTATGCATTTACGTGTGTATGTGTGTGTGTGTTACTGTGTGCTCCTACCTCTCCATCACGGGTCTCGATGGTCTTGATGAGAACAGTCTTCTTGGAGTGGACCTCTGAGGAGCGCTGATGCTGGGACTCAGGACTGGTCTCTGTAAGAATACATTCATACAGCTCTCACAGTTTTTCGTAAACTCATCCAATAAGCTTTGCTACAGTTATACACATTAGTTTAGTATTGCTCTTTAACGGGCTAACTGGCTTTGAACAACATGAGGACATGCCTTGCAGGACAGTCTTTGGAGGTAGTATGACACTTAAATTACTGCTCAAACTATTCAGACTCATTCAGATCAATGGCACTAATGAATCGTGGCTGTACCTAATACATCATCTTTAATTACTGCCCATTGTTTTCATTTAAGCAGCTGGAAAGTGGAGTAAGGCATATATTGGCAGAGATTAATTGCACGTTTGGACTGTTAATACATCAAGTGAATAGGTTAAGTTGTGTGATTATTGATGTGTGGCTTGGTGATGATTGCCTGTGCATCAAAGAG